GCCAAGGCAGAGCTGGCCCGGAGCTCGAGGGAGGCAGGACGCGTCGAGGCAGACCCCGGCGGCCGGGGTCCTCGCCATCTGGATTCGTCACGCCTCTCGGGAGTGTGCAGTCCCACCTCCCCCGCACCCGCCCGCACCCCGCAGGGCCTGCCCGACCGTTCGGACGCCACCAAAACATTTTAATACGCAGCCATTCCCAGACTGGCCGTGCGCTCCTACCGCCTTAAGATACCCTGAAAATTTCAAGTCTCTAGCACATATCCTTCTTGTGGAACAGACAGACAGACAGACACGGGGTCGTTTGCATAAGCCCGCTGGATAGCTTTTTCAAAGCAGAAGGGCGGGCTAAAAACATAGAATTTGAACCCTCCTCAAATAAGTTCTTGAGTTTGCACCTCAAAATCAGTCATTAGAAATCGTTCATGCGTGATGCCACTTTACACACGGCAAAATATGACCAAAATAAAGGGATTGATGCAAACAAGCATCACAAATTTCTTGTAGGAAAATTTTTACAAGCGTTCACATCCTTTATTGCGCCTTACGAGAGGTCCGGGTAGGCAACCTGGATCACATATTAGGTCCCTTTCCACTCTTAGCGCCCTTAGGATCCCGTGACAGCAAGAAAATACAATAATTTCAAAAACCTTTCTTTTAAGTTTACAGAACCGGTTTCAAGCAACATTTCTCCCACGAATCGGAGTGTCTATATCACGTGATTAGTCAGGAATAATAGGAAATAATAGAAATTCTAGTCAAATGAAATGCCACTTTTCCAGACCCTATCCGCCCAGGAGATGCAAATGAGCGAGATCAAGTTGTAATTCCGTGAGCAGAATAGACAGAGGAACACGTTGGGATGAGATGGTATAAGAAACTATTCATTTCGTCGACAGACGAGCTTACAAAACGTATCCGAACGAGCCTAAGTTTTGATCCATGTTTGGGTCAGCGTCCAAACATGGATCACAACCCCTAAACGGGGGAAGGGGTTGTTTTGGGATAAAACAAAAAAAAGTTGCCTTCCCCTAATACTGTTGTGTATCACATATGTGAAGGAGAATACTCTAGCTCGGTGATCCATGTTAGGGTACCCCCCTCCAAACATGGATCATAATTCGCAGTCATGGGAATTCCCTGTAGCTCCTAATGTATTGGATCAGGAAACTTAATTCGCACGGGATATTTCCCTAATAGGTTCAAACTACGTAGCAACGAAACAAAATTATGCTCATCACACTTTCATCGACCCCAAGACCACGGTTTTCTGAAAAATGATCCATGTTTGCTATTGTCATACGGTCTCGGCACATACAGGTAGTCTCAATTTAGACGATTATAAATACATTCGTTGGTAGCAAGATGATTTATAGCTGTCTGAGAGATGTCTATCTCTAGAAATGTACAAAAATGGATGAGCTAGGCCATGCAGGCTTCGGCCAAACTGGGAGCTACGTTTGGCGGAATAAGGGCCTACTTGTTTAACCATAGTTTAACGCAACTGACCTTCGCTTTAACATGCTTGCTAACTATTTTCTTTGCAACGTTAAAAAGAATTTTTAAACCGCGTATTTTAAGTAGTTATTTCGTATTGCGACGAAATTCTTTGAAATATTTTAGCATCTGATTACACTGTGTGTTTACGGTTAAATGGAATAGTTTGCAATCCTGCGAGAGGCTAGTCCGTATTGCAATATTTCATATTCTTCAGCGGCAAAGAAAATATATCCTAATCTCCACACTGGCGTATAGTTTTTGGTGATCAAGTGATTACTTGAATGTGTATCACACGCGATGTTTAACACAATTTCTGTTTATTAGGCCGTTGGCAATCTAGCATCCTGGAATAATGTTGCCGGTTGGAAGGAGAACTTTTTCCAAGCGAGTATGCCTAATGTCTGCACAGCAGCGAAGACCCACTACCGCCTATTTTGGCGACAAGCAATGAAACGAGTTTTCAACGACCCAGATAAGGATTGCCCATTTCCACCGGTAAGACAAATTTTCGCGAAATTATTGAGAGTACAATGCGAAGTAGGTAGATGAAGACGTTAGTCCACCTGTGACAGTCTTGTCCACATCGCCCCCCCCCCCCCTAAGGTGTAATGTAGATAGGTGGCCGCAACCGCTCTCTTTGGTGGATCTGACATGCCCAGAACAGACTGTGCATCTCCTCGTCAACCACTTTCAGGGCAGCGCGCGCGCCGCCGGGTACTCAAAAGGGATTAACGAGCCCGGAAAGCGACGTAGCTCACAAGCGCAACCGATCGCAACCGCAACGGGTCGCAAGCGCAACGGCTCGACGGGTCGTAAGCGCAACGGGTCGCAAGCGCAACTGGGTCACAAGCGCAACGGCTCACAACCGCAACGGGCCACAACCGCAACGGGTCGCAAGCGCAACGGGCCACAAGCGCAACCGCGGGGAGCCGCCTGTTAGACGGCATCGACTATAGACGAAGCCAGGAGCGGGAGCGGAGCGTCTCAGACACTTTCAAACGTTTTGACCTACGCACTGCGCCCGGACCAAAAAAACAGTGCAAAGATAAGCATCCACCTGACAAGCGGAGTTGCCAAGCAAACAAAACTGCAAGCTCACGGAGGTTAGGTTTGTTTCCTCACCTTTGGAGAAAGGCAACACGAGTTGTACAGAAGGCCGGCGAGCCGGCGTATTGACGGCATGAAATGGATAACGTTTTGAATGTACGGCTGATGAAATACGAATACACACACCAGCTGATACAAATCACAACAAAGTAGATGGTACACATGACACAGCAGCGAATTGTGCCCGAAAGTAGCACTTACTTCGCTGGGGTTAGCTCGTTCGGCGCAGCGCCGCACACATTTACATCAAAGCAAGGAGAAATGTTAATCTCGGCTCCTTTCAACGTTGCCACTGATCGTAACCTTTCTCGGAGAAACGCAACCAGAGTTGTACAGAACGGCGACGAATTGAAGTAACCGAATGCACAAAATCTGCGGAGTACACACACTTCTGCGAGTACAAATCACTTGCGTCGAAATGTACGGTGAGTGCACCGCGGGCAACGCCGCCGCCGGATACACCACTCACACCGAAGTTTCCCGACTTCCAGCTCACTTCAACACCATTAACAAGGTAGACGCACGTTAAAACCGTGTGAAGCTGAGCTAAATGTGCGTCTACCTTGGCGTGCGGCGCGCTAAAATTAAAATGTTTTCTCGATTTTGGTTGGCATGCCTGTCCACCTCACATCCCACGTCTCACGCCAGGCGCCTAACTTCACGCCGTCTTCCGGGCGGTCTCCCCTTGCGCTTCCTGACAGAGCTGAGCATTTAAAGTTAAAGTTTAATTTCAAGTTCAAGTTAAGCTCAGCAATAATTATTTATTTACCGCAAGAGTAATCGCTGCCGCGCCAACGCGGGCGCAGTGCGTGTGTCAAAACGTTTAAAAGTGTCTGAGAGGTATCACATTCTACACGAGAAGTGCACAGCGACAGCGACCAAAGGCTCGGTTGATTTCTCATCCAGAGGCTCGCTGCGCGCTCCGCTCCCGCTCCTAGCTTCGTCTATAGTCGATGCCGTCTAACAGGCAGCTCCCCGCGGTTGCGCTTGTGACCCGTTGCGCTTGCGACCCGTTGCATTAGTGGCCCGTTGCGGTTGTGACGCGTTGCGCTTGTGACCCAGTTGCGCTTGCGACCCGTTGCGCTTGCGACCCGTTGCGCTCGCGAGCCGTTGCGCTTGCGAGCCGTTGCGGTTGCGATCGGTTGCGCTTGTGAGCCCCTACGCCCGGCCAGACCCGGAACCGCACCTCCTGAGGCTCGAGCTCGACCCTAGCACGGCCGCCCAGCCTAAAGCCGACCCTTGCTACCTTCTAATACCCGGTCCAGCGTGCACCCAGCACGTTTAAAACCGGTCAGCGGAGTGGCGCGAAGGATCTGCCTTCCCCCACTCTCGCTCGCTTGCGGCCACCTATCTACATTACACCTTACCCCCCC